TACTTATAAGGCTGCACAATTTGATGGGTGTGGGGGTGATGGTGAAGGAAATGGGAAAGATCCAGTATGAAAAACAAGGTATACAAACTTTGTAAATAAACCAGCATAAAATAAATTTTTTAAAACAACCAAAACATAATGACAGTGTATATATGCATTTAAAAAATAAGAGAGATGCTCTTTTCTTTTTTTAAAAAAAGTATGACGATACTAGAAACTTCCAAGTATATGGCTGGTTTCCTAAAGGGGTACTAGGAATCCCCAAGTTTTTAGCCAGCTGGTCAGAAGGGCAGGCGATTTGGAGATCCTGACCTAGGGGCAGACATGTGAAGTCTCGGGCAGATTTGACAGTCTGAAGGATTCTGCCCTTTATCTCATGGTGTCTGACTTAGCTCTGGGTCAGAGGAAGAAAAGTGGAAAAGGGGGGAGCAGAATTGATAAGTTGACTTGCACGTCAGAAGTGGGATTTGATTCTCCTCCTACCACGTAACTTGCTTTGCTCCCTGGAATAATCACAAATGGAACACAGCAGAGACTTGTAGAGTTCTTGCTTTACTGCAACATGCCCTTTCTTGCCAGTTTTGGAAACCTTTGGATCTCCATGTGAAGAGTTTGAGCTAGTCTCTGGTGGAGGACGAGAGATGACATGAAGCAGGACCAATCACCATCCCCTCATATGACATGTAAAGGAGGACATCCTGCACTTCTCAGACCCAGTTGAGCTAACAGACGACCAGAGAGACCAGCCAAGTCGGAGAAGCACCACAAGCACTGCCAGTACAGCCCATCAGCATGTGAGGAAAAAGCCCTTGATTAAGCATTGAGCAGCTAACCAGCAGGTTTGAACTTCTCAGCCGAGCTCCACAGGAGAAGAGATCAGGCAATCTGATCAAGATTCCCCATCAAGATTCCCACCTAGGAACCTGTGGGCATTCCTCCTCTGCCATGTCGGGCTGTGATGAGCTAGAATCACTTTGATGGCACAGAACAAACAACATTATGTGAAATAATAAATACTGCTTTGGGCCACGGGTTTATTATATATAGCAGAAACTAACTGACTTGACCTATACTCATTTCATAGATGGAAAAACTGAAGCCTGGAGACATGAGAAAGGCCCTAAAAATGAATTTGAGCCTAAAGGGGTTACTCAGAGACCTACCTCAGCTGGACCAGAAGGCTCTCGTTTACACATGTGTGCTGTTTGCCTAGGCCGTGGAGTAAATTCTGATTGGGCCCTCCAAATTCAACCATTAATAGGCCTTTATTAAATGTTGATACAAAAGGGAGACCCCTCTAGGACATTAAAGCAAGAGAGCACAAGTTGAGGCACTCTTAATCTACAAAGCAGGAGGCTGAGGGATGTAGGAATCCAGAGATTTTATTACCAGGTTATAAACTCCTGCAGGCAGGGTTCAGATTTGTATTCTTCTAATGTCCTTCTCCAGTATTATTCTAGTCTCATACACTGTCATCTATTAAAAAAAAGTTAATCGAGCACCTTCTATGTTACAAAGAAGCTCTGGTGGCCTAGAGAGTAAGGCATTGTGCTGCCAAGCCAAGGGCAGGCAGTTCAAAGCCACCAGCTGCTCCTTGAGAGAAAGATAAGCAGTCTCCTCTTGAGGGATTTATGTTGTTGTTGTTGTTGTTATGTGCCATCGAGTCGTTTGCGACTCATAGTGACTCTATGTACAACATCCCTAAACCCTGCTCTATCCTGTGCCAATCGCCCTGCCTCCGACACACCCATCCCGATTACCCCAGTCACTGAATCAATCCACCTTAAGAGGGCCTCCCCTCCTGCGCTTCCCTCCACCCTCCCAAGCATGATGTCGCTCTCCAAGGACCCTTCCCTCCTT